ATCCATTTGATTGGCTGGCTAGCTAAGAAGTGTCTAGTATCCTTAGACTTATTGATATTGAATCATCAGACTAGATTATTTCACCGAAACCTCTTAAACTAGTGAGTATTTTCATTTACTGAACATCTGATTTTAAGAACTATATAATAATTCAGAAAATGTCTCCATTCAAACAAATTAATCGACGAAGAGTACTGATGTAACCAGCTCTGAAAATATGCTACCGGATGCAGTTTTATTGGATTCAAAACTATTTTTTAAGTATGCTGTTTACATCAGAGATATATGACTAAACAAAAAGAAACCCTGATCTTTGTTTGTCTGTTTATTTCATCACAAACTGGTACCATGAGGTACAGAATATCTATTTCGTCTTATTTTATGACTCTGCAGTATAGTTCAGGACCATAACTCCGCCAGGGTTCTAAGCCAAAAACTTCAGATTACATAATGAGCCTGAAGGCGATTCACTAACCGAGCTGGAATTTTATTTTATTTTTTATTTATTTTGACTACAGCTTGATGCCACGCCCTATTTTTAGGTACAGGTATGGAATTTTCAGCATGGATATCGGTAGCCCAAATTTTGCAGGTCGACCATAGATATCGGGTGTGCGCCGGCAGGGGGTCAAACCCCGGACCATGTGCATGGTCGGCGAGAGTCCTAACCACTGTGCTTATGAATTCCAGCCTCTATCATTTCTATCACCCACATTTCGTTCCTGTAGCAAAGTACCATAACCTCGTTCGTGTATATGTTGACGCCCATCTCCTCTTGGAAACATCACGTGAAAAATTTATTACAGTAGTTTCAGTGTCTAATGGACTTCACAAATAGTTAAAATACTACTGAAGACCAGCTTCACTGTTCATTAGGGCTGACAGAAAATTTAAAAATATGGTAGGCTCTATAATAACCTTGTTCACGTGAATGAAATTGTGGAAAAGGGATATTTTTCAAAGTAACTTCTGTATGAAACTGATGTCAACTGAAGAACCATTGGATGACTGTCTCACCTTAAAGTTTCGCTTATCCGTGATCCAAGTTAGAACTCGGTCAAGGGAACTGAAGTTCTGATGCGGGTGCTTTGTCATTCATTCATTCGTTGGATTGCAATCCAATGATTCAAACTATTCGTGTTCTGACTAGTCGTCGAACAGCTTGACCACTATTCAGTATGCTGCATTAATGTTGTAAGCAATCATTCCTATACTTGACAATGACCCATACATTTAATTTTAAAACTTTTGGGGATTAGTTTTGAAAGTAATCACTAGTAAAAAAATGGATTATTATTCTATTGATTGATTACCTAAAATACTAAATGTGATATGTTGTGACTAAGTTAAACCGAAACCTCGCCTAGTTAACTAGCTCGCTAGTTTTCTAGCCGGTCCCAAGGCCGGGTAAAGAGGGAAGGTTGAACTTAGGGCTAGCAACCCCACACCACTAAATCTTTCAAACCGCTGGAGAAACTTCAATACATAGAAAATATATCAAAAATAAAGAAACTTCAGATAAAAATCTTATTCTTCGCTCGAATTGGAGAGGCGAAATGACGCGGGCTGGTGATCACCGATGATATTCTTAATTGTGGTGGACTGGATTATGTTGAAGACTGTTGGCAGTGAGGAGTCAGGAATACGCTGGTCCACAGATAAGAAAATTGTAGAAGATTTAGATTCCGCGCGTGGATGATTTATGTTTAATGTTACACAAACTCGAAGACTTGCAGGCGAAAACCAACAAACTGGCTGAAGAGACAGGCAGCGAAGACAGGACTCCAGGTGAACATAGAGAAGACGGAGGTGATGAAGATAACCAACAATCTGCAACAACAACAGCCAGCAACAATCGCAATCAACAGGAGAAATTCAATGGAGGTTAACTCCTTCACTTATCTAGGAAGCATCGTTCCAACTACAGGTGGGGGGAACGGACAAAGATGTCAAAGTCAAAATCGGAAAGGCAAGATACGCCTTCATCAACCTGAAACCAGTTTGGAAATCTTCTACACTCAGCATAAGGAACAAGATTCGCATTTTCAACACCAATGTCAAGTGTCCTTCTATACGGGTCGGAAACTTGCACTGCGTGTCACGAAAAGGATTTCCGACAGACTACTGCAGACTTTCCTCAACAGCTGCCAACTTCGCTGGCTGGCTCCATCCTGAAGATCAAATGGCTGACCAGAAAGAATAGGCAACAAGAATCTCTGGCTGGGAACAAACCAATCAAGATCCAGTCCTTCAACAAATACGTAGGAGAATGTGGAGATGGGTTGGGCATACACTGAAGAGGCCGTCGAATGACATCGCGCGCCAGGCCCTCGAGTGGAATTTAAATGGGAAGTGACGAGTGGGTCGTGGGTGGGAGGGTGACATGGAGGAGATCGTGTGAGGAAGAGATGAGAGAATTTAGTCAATTGTGAACCCAGCTGAAGAGGATGGCAGAAAACAGAATAAAGTGGCGATTCGTTGTTGAAACCCTCTGTTCCACTCGAAACGCAGTGGAATAATATATATATATATAAAGTTAACCCGAAAAATTTTCTTATTGCCCTGTGTTCTGAGTAGAATATAGCGCCTTAAGCTGAGAAGTTTCATTATCCTTCGTGTTAATTCTATGAGTTGATATCTCTGGCCTTGGTGGTTCATTGGTGAAGTCTTGCCAACCACGCCTCGAGTGGTCTAGGGTTCGACCCTGGGCCGGTGCACTCCTGAAACTCGCTTAGCCGGTAATAAACCCCCAAAACATGAACGCCACTGTCAACAAATCCCAAGATCAATCGGGAACGCAAAGGAACGAAATGTAAGAAAATCGTTAGCCTCAAACATAACCTTCCATCTTTTCTGGGCTTACTGTCAGCTAGCAAACTAGGCGAGGCTTCGGAGTCGGTTGGCTGGCAGTCTTACCTAAACCACATGTGTGGTTGGCAGTCGTTCTAACATTCGAATATCAATGCCAGGTCAAACAGCAGTACAGGAGATTATATAAAAAACGGCATTCGCTTAGCAAGCTGATTTAAATCTATGTCGTGTTCAAATTTGTGTTCTTTGAGCTGGTTGGACTAGGTGGAAACCTTCCATCTTCGGTGTTAAATGCAGTTTACAGAATACGAAAGTACCAAAAACATTTGCCATAACTGCAAATCTTCTTGACTTATTTCTTTGTTGACTAGTTAAACCGTGTTGAAGATATAACTACTATAATTAACACCTTGCATTTGTAGTGGGACATAAGGCTTCAATAGCATACCTCCATGCCAACTGCTTTTATTCTACAACTTGTAACTGGCTCCATGACTGTCCAACAACTTTCATTTCCCTACACATCTCCATATCACCTGAAGTGATGAGGACAATTGAAGTCCATCAGCGATGCCAGTTTGATTTCAACATAGGCTGTACTAATGGAACTGACCCTAACCAAATTCAGCAACTTAGGGATTGACTTGTTACCAGGGTATAGTCTTGCTGACTTAGATTACTAAGATGAAGACGCTTATAAAAGAACGGTCTTCTTAACACTTTAGGCAGAAATCTTTATATGTTTGGTGTATGATTTGCTCCTGTCAAATGTAAGATAATGCTACAGGACTCCTAGCTTAAAGATAGTAAGTGAAGTGGTGTAGTGTGTGGACCACGTGAATTATCTGGGAAGTTACATCAACCCCAACAGACTATTTGGTGACGGAATCTCAGCACGGATAAAAAAGGCTCACGTGGCATTTGACAGCCTACATCATCCTTACGTTTGACGTGATATCCTGCTCTTGATTGAAGGACATGTGTGCTGCTCACCAGTTTGCCTGGTCCTCCTTTATGATGGTGAGACATGGTCATTAAAATGGAAGATATAAAAAAGGCCAATTGTCTTTGACCATAGGTGGGTGGTATAATATGGTGAATGTGGAGGTCAGTCGTAAACTGTTAGGCACGGAAAGAAAATCAATCCATTCAGTCGTGAAGCTACATCGACCGAGATGGGTGGAACACGTGTTGAGTATTCCGAGCCATCGCTTTCCTCAACAGACAATGTTAGCTGACATAGGACTAGGTTGGAAAAGAGTTAGAGGTGGTCAAACGAAAATCTGGCATCAGACCATGAAATCTTTAACAGTTATTTTGGCCAGCCACGTAGGTGGGTGTAGACTACTTTGCTGGTTAAGGTCCCCGAGATTCTAAGAACCAATGGCTGGAGATTATTGGTGATATGGACCAAAACCTTTGTCAATGTCACAGATGCATCCTTTCTTTGTTATTTCTCATATCCGTTAAACCCTATTATTCCCCCATGTTAATTTTCTTTCTCCCTACTATACTGCTTATTATAGTCCCTCTGAATCCCTTTTTTCTCTCCCTCTTTTGTCTTCCTTTGTGTTGTACATGGAGTGTAGCAACTCGAGCTACTGCACTTATGTACACAGTTCAATGTTGGAACCAGTCAGTCAGTCATGCGCATGTCACACTCAGACTTATGCCCGACCTGTTGTTTGCTATTCATACTCTACCTGAAGAACTTACCTGACATGTTATCTTACTTGGATTTCTCCTTAGCGTATGTACAATCCACCCCCATTGTCTTTTGCATGTTTTTTTGCGCGAATAGATTACTGACTGGTTTTCTACCTGCCGGAGTTCCTTGTTGCTCGCTTTTCTTTTCTCCCCGACCATCTGATCTTCACTGTCAAAAGATGAAGCCAGCTTTCGACGAAAGCCTGGTTTGGACAACTCGTGTACCAAGTCTCTTAACCAATTCGAAGCACCGTTAGTCTAGAAAACAAGAATCTTTATTCTCCCATGAATGCCGTAGATCTTCTCTTGTTTCAGGTATGCACAGCTCATATTAGGAACACCGTATACGGACAGCGAAATCACAATTATAATCAATACGTATTCGAACTGTAAAAGTAATATGTTCATGTATGACTAGTACTCCTAGTTTTCATTATTATTAAACCAGACTACTTTTAATCCGCATTTATCTTCTATTTTATTTTAAAACCCCTAAATAGTATAAATTAAACCATTTCAAAAAGTATTTAGAATATTATTCAAGTGCGTAATTTACATAATCTGTGCAATTCTTTATCTTTTCGGTCATGACTATAACTGGTTAAAGGTTAAATGTTAAGTGTTCAATTTTCAATTATAATTTACGCGCTTTCAATATTCACTAGTCAGGTTAAACAACAACAACAAATGACTGTACAAACTAGTGAACAATTATCACGATGAAGGAATGAAGACAAAAAGAGAAAAAAATGGAAACCAATTATAAAAGAATATTAATCACCGTCATGAATTAATCGATGAAATATTTGAACTCCAGGTAGGGAATAAGGCAGCGCTATTTCACTACCATCCACTGCACGTTGAGTACTTCGATAACTGAACTATAAACGAAAAAGAAGAAAACAATATATCGGTAAAATTAATAAAAATTGAAAAAATAATTCTAAAGGGCAATGAATTAATTTTTACTAATTATTAATGGGATGGACAGGATCATGCAACACACTGTAGATATCGAGAAGACAGGTATACGTAGGACCAGCAGAAAGACTCTAGAAGATCTGGGTTTCGCTAAAGACTTGTTTCTAATGTCACACAGACACAAAACCAGATAAGCGAAAACCAATCAGTTGGCAGAAGAAGTAGGGAGCGAAGACAGGACTACAAGTGAACGTAGACAACACAAACGTGATGAGGACACCCTGCCACCAAGAATAACAAACACCAGTCACTATCAACAGGTGAAATTTAAAAGAAGGTAGACTTCCTCTAATCTGTGACCAGTGTGAGGATCCGCTGCATTCAGAATAAGGAACAAGATTTTCATTTTCAATACTGATATAAAGTTAGTCAATGCTCCTACATTGTTCACAGGCTTGGTGCATCGCCACAGGGATTTCTAAGAGGCTGCAGACTCTTATCAACAGTTGTATTCGCTCCATACTGAAGATAATATGGCTGGCCAGACAGGATAAACAACGAGGAGTTGTGTCTAGCAACGAGCTAGTCAAAGAAATGGAGTTGGATTCAACATACACTAAGGAGACTACTGAGTGACATTATGCACTGGTCCCTCTAGTGGAACCTGGATCAGAAATTAAGAGTTGTGTGTGTCACAGAGTGAAGTCGTATAGACTGTGCCAGGAGGAAATGAAATCTTGTGAACAGTCGTGGAGCTATCTAAAGAAGACTACAAAGAATACGGTGAAATGAAAGTGTACTTCTGAAGCCCTATACTTTACTAGAAACCCAAGAGACAAATCATAACAATAATTTAAGCATAAACTGACTAAAAGGACTGAAATATTTATTCGATCGATGATGGATAGCAGTGGACTTCATGATGTGCATCCCACTCTATCTGGGATTGGATGCACCTCTATTGACAGTGAGTAATGGTGTCCCCACTGAGATTAGAACCCAGTAACTGACACTTCAAACATCTAAGCGTTTTCCACTAGACTACAAGCATGAATAAACTAATTTCAATTCATACCCGTTGCAGATGATATGGCTCTTCTATCTCGGTGGTTGTATTGTATTTGAAGCAATAGGTCCCGGATATAATTCTCAGTGAGAACACCATCACTCGGGTGTAAGTACATGTAGCTGGTAAGTCCTGAATAGGACTCTACTGCCAGCCGCCACTACAGTAATAACTTTGAGGTTCTTGATGAAGTTATACTTATAGGAGGCTTTGAGGGTGTAAAGAATTTTGTATCCACTGACCCCTGGCTATAAGCTTTATTTTCGTATGATTATTGATTGATATCATTGTTTGTGAGAACGCGTATACTTTATTTATTCTGTTTATGCTACTTATAATCATTCAGTAAGCTAAAGTATTTCATTAAATATTTACATATATTAAAAATAATCATTCATACTTGTCCAGATCGTGGATGATAAAATTGGGCTCCAATTCTTGAAAGAAGTTCATCGACAAGAACTTTAGTTAGTTTTGGATGAGTTTCAAAAGCACTGAAATTATACAAATGTATGAACAAATATTAATGAAATAATCGTACACGGATTGAAATAAAACGTATTATATTGTCAAGTCTCATACAGTGCAAATGTGTGTCGAAGGTAAGAGTTTTGATATTAAAGTCGGAAAAGTGTACACTGAAGAATGTCTCTGATATTCCATGATGAATATTTCACCAAACTTCGTGGAGATATCCTTGGCATTAACTTCATCAGGAGATCATACGCGTCAAGAGACTTTACGCGTCCTAAAAAGCATTTCCAACAGGCCAGTGAAAACTTTTATCCACACCTAACTTCCCTGTCTCCGTACTGATAGTCAGATGGCCGACTCTGAAGACAAACTAATCAATAACCTATTGCTCAAAAAATATTCCTAAGAAAGTGGAGATGGATGAAACACATGTTGAGGAGACCGTTCAGTGACACTGCACTCAATTCAGGCCATCGTTCGAGCAGAAGCCGAATAGAAAGTTAGCGGCGAGTTGGACATGTATACGATGAAAGAGATCGTATGAGGAGATGAGAATTTATGGGCAATCGTTGAGCCAGATGAAGAGGACTGCAGAGAATAAGACGAAATGGATGACGTGCTGTTGAAACCCATTTTTTTCACCAGGAGCCTAAGGGAACATTAATAATAACATGGTAGAATACCCGTCGGTCCCACCACACGTATAGGTTCGATTTACCGCCGAGATATTCCTATGCTTTACCTAGTCCACTAGCCGGTAGTCAGCTCAGGAAATAGGCAAGGTTGGCCGTGTAACAGTAGCAGCGCTTTTTAGTAAAATGGCAACACCACAGCTACTGAAACTTCAGCAGCCTAAAGCCATATGTTCCACTTAAAACGCACTGGAATGAAAAGATATCTTTATATTGATTGATCTCTGGCGAGTAATTAGCGTCATGCCTCAAGTGGTTCACAGTGACTGCCACTGAAATCTATTAGTCAAATTTGTAATCTGCTCACCAAATGAGGAGGCTCGAAATTGTGGGACACTTTCTAAATTATTACTATGTATGGATTTCTGTCTAACCTTTGTACAAATACTCAAGAATTCCAGTCACTGATGAGAAACATACTCTTCCTACATACACAAAGATCTACGTGAACTGAATACCGTTGTTTATCGTATCAGAAGAAATCTGAATCTATTTCTTTCAACATCTCATTTATAAATATGTTATCGTCCAGCTGAATAGATAGTAAGTGACATCGTACACTAGACTTTTCTAATCTAAACGTCTAGATTATCTTTAGTTGATATCTTATGAGTGAGTTAAGTGTATTAGGGTAGATGTAGGCTATCGTAAAGAGGATTTTTTCAGCTCAAGAAGTAAGTAGTCAGGACAAAAACAGTGCTTAATTTAAGGTTCACATATGTGCCATTTATTGGTAGGATCGTAAGTCATTAACGACGAATTATTCAGGTTGAAGTCTACTCCTTTGTAGGACTAAATTAGTTTCATTACGGTTGAATTATATTACTACTAAGTTAATCAGAGTGTATCACAACGATACATTTCTTACATTGTGGATCTAATTGAGATGCTGATTAGAAAGTGGTTGATAGATATACCAATCTGAACACGAATATATTTCCAGAGTATTTTTATGTGCATTCCGATGACATTCTTAGCCAACAGAATATTATTCCATCTTATATACGTACCCCAATACAGTTTCTGATAAAATATTAATATGCCTTTATTAGCTATTCTATTCTGACATTCATGGATTCTTATCTGTAGAGCGTTAAGAAGAAGAAGACGTTATTGAAACCACAATTGTTCACTCAAAACGTTTTTCCTCCATTGAAAACCATCAGGGAGTACTGGACAGCTGTTTTGTGTTAGTGCTTAGGAATGTTCATTAGAACGCATTCACAGCGAACTCGTATAATATTAAGCCACTGAGACCCAATCCAATGGTCACCCCATGAATTCCAACTTCCACCAATTCGTGACGCTACAGGACGAAGTTGACGGCAGTTCTAGTGATGACTCCTCACCAGTGTGAGGACAATTACTCGCCGATGATGTTGGTTGGTTGTCAAACTAAAATCACGAATTGGTGGAAGTTGGAATTCATACACTAGCCATTGCATCGACTCCCAGTGTTTAAGTTTTCTTGGAGTTTGTCTGACTGACATTTTCAGATCTCTATAAGGCAGTTAATTATATCTTAAGAACTTTACATTTATTAGTAAGGGGTTTTAGAATGGATTCCCTGTGGTTCACTAGTAATTAGACTTAACTGTCTTAGACTTAACAGTGCATTGCAGTTAACGATTCTAAATGTCAAACAGTTAAGAACCAGAACAGTTGTCCAGTGCTTCCCTGTTTACAAAGATCCTTTAGACAATGATATTTCGAGATAAAACCTACTTTCGTACGAAAAAACATTCCACCGAATTATTTCAGCATAGACGGAATACAGTAAGGCTTAGCATAGAATCTATATTGAATAAATGATTGATTTATAGATTATTGGTTTTACAGGGATTTCGATTAATGTCAATGTAGATCCTAACACAAAGCAACATCAATCAGGAAATCGTTCACTGGTAGCCACTGGATGCATATTCAGAAGTTGGTACCTGTATGGTCCACTATATCAAGGTGAAGTGGATGCTTGTCAGTGACACTAGTTGGTGGTAGCATTCTACAACGCATAGACAAAGTTAGAATTGAAGAGGATTGAATGGTCAGTCCGAAGGTTCTGGGTTCGATTCACTGTGGATTCCTGGGTGCTGATGAATCCCAGACTGCAACAAAACAGCTTCTTGGTTTCCAGTGATTCTCTAACCCAAGTTTGGTCACGGATTGATATCAATTGGAGAACCACTGGAAACCAGTAAGTACTGGAAAACTGTTTAGACCCAGTTTGGGACTCACTGACAGTATCCATGCACAGCAGTTCGAACACTGGATCGTCCAGTTACAAGACGAACTAGTACACCATCCAGTCACTGGGACCCTATCCAATGACCAGTCCATGATTTCCAGCTTTTGCCAATTCGCTATTTTAGCTCGAACACCAGCCAATGTTATCAGTGAGTATTTCTCCTCACATCCGTCCTGGTAGACCTCCACTGCTCACGACTTTTCGCTAAAAGTCTAGTCAAATTTGTCCTTTAGCCAGTCATAAGGAAGCACCGGTCTAATCTTCAAAAGCTAGCTAGTCTAAGGGCTTGGCTCATAACCGGGAGGTCCTGGGTTCGGACTGCAATCGGTGCCTACCGATGAGGAGATCCAAACTAGGACGAAACAGGTGTTCAGTACTCCTTGGTGGAATTCAGTGGTTCTCCATCAGATAATAATCCATGATCAAACTTCAACCAAATCAAATCCCTACAATTTAACTCTTAAAGATTCTGTAACCGATGTTTTACTGCATGTAATGGTATCTACATTAAAACTAGCGAATTATTATTACACGACTACAACTTGCCATGAATTAGTTAAATTTTTATTGGATTCATATTGTTTTCTATGCTTCTCCACTTCAATATTTAGTTTCGTTTGCATAATATCATTCAATCTCTACAAACGGAATGAAAAGAAATATAATTCTTTTTTGTGAAACCCTGAAAAATAAAAAATTCATGATGAGTTGATTTCATCTAAGCGGTGAGAAGAGTACCACTCACCACGGAACTAGCCCTCTTTTTATATAGAGATATCACAACACTGTTTACCAGTGTACCAATTATGAAGACTATGAAATTCATATGCCAACAAACACTAGAAAAGCAGTTCGATATTGGAATTCCAGTTATTAGTCTCAAAGAGGTGTACAATTCACATTCAACAACGTTTACTACAGACAAATCGACAGTACTGCCATAAGTTCTCCATCAGGCCCAGTTTTGGAAGATCTCCCTCTTCCTAAGCTTGAAAATGGTCCATCAAAACAAGTAATAGGTAAAATGGATTATTATTTACGTTATGTTGATGATAAAGTCAACAAAAACAAAGTCAAGGCAGGCCAAAGTACCAACACTTCCAAGAAAGGCCTTATTCTTACAGCTTCAGTTCGTCGATGACGGTAACATCGGTGCGACATTAACACAATGCCTAAGGAATGCGGTAAAAAGAGCATTCAGTGTTGCTGAATTATGCTGTGTCTTCGAAACCACCCCTGTTTTGAGTTCGTGAGTTAAAGATAAACTTCCCAATTTCGCCTCTTCTGCATGTATTTACCAATTTGACTGCTCCTGTGGAGCCAGTCAGTTATACAGGCCGTACAATTAGACGTGTTTATCGTCGGATTTCCGAACACTATCCTGCGTGGTTAAGTAAGGGACAAACAAAATCTATTCATAGCTCTATTCTATCTCATCTTGTGGATACAGAACACACAATTCATGTTAACGAGGACTTTCAAACTCATTTACCGCATACCAACTAATCTTAACTTTAACTTAAGAGTTCGTCTACTGCATATTACTGAGGCTGTTGGGATCCACATTAAGAAACCTAGTCTATGTATCCAAAAGAAGTTGGTTCAGATACTGTCCTTACCTTAACCATCAAGGTTTTAATGATCCTCAACTTGTTACGGAAGTTTCCTTAATTTTATTTGATATTGTATTTGCTATTATATTATTTTCTTGTACTGTAATTTCATTGATCCTAATTAACAAATCGATGTTATTTAAAAAACACCAATATTGTTAATGACGATTATTCTAGAATAGCCTTATGTTCCACCCAAAGGAATAATAATAATATTATAATAATTCTAGAATATTCTGTGCATACACATATATATAATCGTAAAGCCAGAAGAAGAAGTTATCGGAAAGGATATTCTTTGCTCAGCATTTTCTCTAAGTGTCAGAATGAATATTTTTACTATATTGAAAATTTAATGATGCATATGTATCGCTCATTTTCGCTTGTGAAGAAGATTTTGATGGTGGATTGCTGAGCAAAAGAAGAAGAAGAAATGGTTCACTCAAAAGAGATGTCTATAGAAAAACTACATCTGTAGGACAATATACACATTTCTTCAGTTTTGCACGAATCCGATGCCTCACGAATAGAGCAAGAAGGATCTGTACAGATGACTCTCTGGATAATGAATTGGGATACATCCAAAATACGCTGATCCAAATGGGTTATCCTAATAGATTTGTAAGGAGACACATGAGTACCATGTATAAGAAAGAGAACCCGACAGCGGCTAAAAAGAAACAACTGTTCCAGAAACTGCAATTCAGTGACTACGTGGCTAGTGAAGTCCTACATCTAAGATTATCGAGAGCCATAAAATAATAAACGTTCTGTTGCCTGGCCCTTGTCTTCTGTTGTTACAGCACTATTGGCATTAAAATACTTTAAATTATTATTATTATTTCCTTTAATTCCTAGAGGAACATAGGGCTTCAGCCATGCGTCTCCATTGCGTTCGGTTCTCTGCTAGAGTTTTCACCTGGCTCCAAGTCTGCCCACACGCTTTCAATTCCTCTTCACATGATCTCCTCCAGGTCACCCTTGGACGACCAACTCGTCGCTTCCCTTTTGGGATCCACTTGAGCAATGGCTTGTCTAGTGATGTCACTTGATGGTTTCCTCAGAGTGTGTCCAATCCATCTCCATTTCCTTCTGCCTATTTGTTTCACGATCGGTTCCTGGTTGGTTCGCTCCCAGAGATCTTTGTTGCTGATCCTCTCCGGCCATTTGATCTTGAGTATTGAGCGAAGGCATTTGTTAATGAAGGTCTGTAGCTTGTTTGAGGTGCTCTTTGTGACACGCCAAGTCTCTGATCCGTATAGTAGTACTGACTTCACATTGGAGTTGAAAATACGGATCTTATTTTTGACGCTGAATGCTGTTGACCTCCACATAGACTTGAGAGAAATGAAAACTTGTCTTGCTTTTCCGATTCTGGCTTTGATATCCTCGTCAGTTCCTCCTGTAGTTGAGACGATGCTTCCCAGGTAGGTGAAAGAAGTTGTTTCCTTCAGGTTCCTCCCGTTTATGCTGATTGTTGTCGGTTGTTGCTGTTGATGTTGGCCAGGAATAAATACTTTAAATATCTACTGATAATCTAAATTTTGAAAATTGGGTTCGTGATGCTCGTCGATTTTAATACTAGGTTTTCCACTAACTGACCTCAGGTTCTAAACCCACCGGCTACCTACTTTACTCTGAGTAAGCGCGTGATATTATTAAGCTTCCTACAATAGGTGTGACTCTGACCGATAAGCGAAATGTCTGTTCAAATTCAGCTGCGTTCAAACATGAGATTCCTCAACAATATGATGACGAAATATTTTCAGTCTAAATAATTTTGCTTCACTTATAATAATGTAGATTTTAATTCACTTCGTATGGCTTGCCTCATGTCACTACTGTGAAAATCTGGAGGGAAGGAAAGGTACCTACTGACTGGAAGAAAGACTATCATTTCAAACTACCGGGGAAGAGTAACTCAGGCCTCTACAAGATACAATCTGGATTCAGGAAAAGTAAATCATATGAGGTGCGTTGGTGGTATAGCGGTTAGGACGCTCGCCAACCATACACATGGTCCGGGGTTTGCTCCCTGGCCGACGCACTCCTTTACCTCGCTGAGTCAGAAATAATGCTGGTGAAGAGGAAAGGTTGGGCATGAGGTTAGCAAACCCATCCTGTCAAATAAACACTGCTATAGAAACTTCAAGCCACTAGCTTGAAGCCCTATGTTCCACTGGGGAACGTGAAGGAAAAAAAATCAAACTCCACCTATATGAATAATCATCACTGAATGGAGCATAGAATGATTATCAAATCCCCTGCCTAAGCCTCATCGACTATAAAAGGGCCTTTGACAGCGTTGATTGCAAAGCAGTTTCGAAAATACTCCAACACCATGGAGTACAGTGCCTCAAATCTTTATCAGCCTCATTCAGAAGCTATATAACAATGCCACACATCAAGTGATCTACAATGGAAAACTCAATGAAGACTTTGTCGGTGAAGACAGGAGTAAGACAACGCTGACCACTATCACCGATAATATTCCTGACTGTCGTTGGCTGGAACATAGAATACACTGTGGTGAGGGAGAAGACAAGCATACGTTGGGATGACGAAAAGATACTAGGTGTGAACTTAGCGGATAATTTATGTCTCATGCCACACAAACTCGAAGATATACTCACGAAAATCAACAGGTTGGCAGAAGAGGCAGCGAAGATGGGTCTTCGGGTGAAAGTAGAGGAAACAGAGGTCATAAAGATATCCATACGATAGTATAAAACACTGATGACCATCAGTAGAAGAAATCGGAAGGAATCTGTCTCTTTCGCTTTGCGAGCTGTGCAGCAATGACGGACAGGAGACACTGATGAGGATGCCAACTCCAAACAATGGCACATCGGAAAAGCAAGATAGCCATTCATTAATCTCAAATTAACATGGAAATCTATAGTATTCATCACATGGAGCAATGCAAGCATTTCGCACAGGCTTCTGCACACCTTAATCAACATCTGCCTTCGCCACCTTGATACTGGCCGGGAAGGATAATCAATGGGGAACTGTGGTAGAGGGACAACAATAACAACTTATTACCCAACAAATATACAGGATGAAATTCAAATGAACACAAAAAGGTGGGGGTGATGAAGATAACGAACCAACAACAACAAGGACCAAGCAATACCAATAGGAGAATTTTGAAACAGGTCACTTCCTTCTCCCACGTAGAAAGCTTCGTTTCAATTACAGGTGACAGCACGGATTATGATGGCAAATCCAGGCTGGATAAGAAACACAAGGCAGATATTCATCACTCTGAGGTGAATTTGAAAATCTGCTCCACTCAGCATGAATAACAAAATTTGGATTCTTAACAGAAATATTGAGTTAGTCAGTTCTTCTACATAAGTCAGCGACTTTCCGTGTCACCAAAATTACTTACAACAGAGCATAATGGACTCTTATCGACCGTTGCCTTTGCTGCCTCGATAATGAAGATCAGGTGGCCAGAAAGAATAAGGATTAAGCAACTCTTGTAACGGATCAGTCAGGAAACTATCACCCAATAAAAATAAAGAAAGAAATGGCGACAGTTGGGAGTAGCTTCGAGAGTGGCAATGGGTAGATCATGTGAAGAGGAATGGAGGGCTTACCGGCACTCATAAAGCCAACTGATGAGGACTGGAGAGAATAGAATGTAATGAAGATAATCTGTTGAAGCTCTGTGTTCTACTGGGAACACAGTGGAATGATTATTATATGATTTGATATTCACTAATGCCTAAATAATGAAGAATCTTAAGTTCAAAACATTATGCGGGACCAAACATTTGTAGATCTTTTTTTAACAAATATACTGGTTAAACCTGAATTCATTGTTATGATTCAACCTACTGAGAAATAAAATTTTCCAAGTATATTGTTAAGTAACACATAATTAAAGCAGTAGATTGGTCTTCCGTTTACTAATTTTTTACACACAAACAGATGCAATCACTGTTACTGTAAGTGACGGGTACCCTAGTGAGGCTGTACATAGCTTGAAAGGTCTATTCAGGATATGTGCAACCCAGCTATACTTCCTTATATTGTCTCCATCTCACTGACACACTTACTGGTACATAAAAACGTTTTATTCAGACTTTGGGTTTCGTGACGATTTCGCTTAATTTTATCACAAACTTATATCAGTTGTAGAATCAGCGAAAACTAAAGAGCTGGTTTGAGACTGTTTAACAGTGAGTACCCACGACTCTTTCATGCAGCTAACCCAAGACCTTCAGGTTATGAAGTGATGTTTTCGATGATTCAGCTGGAACCCAGTGACCAATGAGCGCTAAAACGTGTCAGTTCGCGATATAACAACATCACCAATCAATTATATCAACGAACATGCACTTCACACCAACTATAATGGATCTCACTAGCCACAACCTCTCAAACATCCCGCACTACGATAGAAAAGCTTCCCAGTGAATGATCCATGATTTTTCCCAAACTCCGTAACTCATAGCGATTCTTAAGGAAATACATCCTGAACATTCCATTCTTTTGTAGACTGAAAAATTAGCTATACAAAAACATCATACAAAAAATTATGAACATATAGACAAATTGGTGGCACAGTGGTTAAGACGCTCGCCCACCATGCACATGGTCCGGGGTTCGATCCCCTGCCAACGCGCACCTGATATCAATGGTTGACCCGCAAAATTTGGGCTACTGATATCACATGCTGAAAATTCTATACTTGTATGAAAAATTCGGTGTGGAATCAAGCTATAGCAAATTTTAAAAATAAGATATACTACTTACTTTTATAAAAGTAGCATCTGCAACAATCTTTTCTAACTGATCACGATTTTCAGCTGGTAAGTTATAAAAACAGCAATACGATCATATTTAACAACAAGATGAATAGCATCTGAATATAAGCGTTTATATTTGACAAAAGGAATAACAAATGCAGATCTGTAAAATTAGGTTATGAGATATTCTGATTATTGAAATACATAAGGATCACATATCATGAGACACAGATCGGTTCACTGGAAGAACTACATTTGAAACAGTTAGTCCGTTTGATAAATTTAAGTAAGGTGTTTAGAAGACAAATGTCATGAGATAATATCATCTCGTGGTTTCTTTGCAACCGCTTTCGTGGCTGTATGGTTGCATGGATCACAGTGATAAGATATAAGGTTTGACAACTAATCAGCTATATAAAATAAAAGTGCATACTAGTAACCAATCTTATTTTAAAAGGTTAAGTAGTAGTCCATAATAGGTAAAGGTTGAAGTCTATTGTTTTCTATTCACACATAGTTTATGATCCATGTGATTAATCCCGAAAGTGCTTCCATCACCTTTGATAATCTTGAATTAGAGTTACGTGAAATAACTGCTTAAGCAGCCATTAATATTGATTTTGTGACCTGACATTAATAAATGCTTTGCAATGGGTGATGCTGGATTTCTACTTAAATTAAGCACATCTGGATTTTCTGTAGTATTCATATTGTCTCACACACCACTGATTGCGGTCACCCTCGAAAAGTGTACTTTTGTTGAATATATATATACATATACATCATTAAATTATTTGATCTCATTTTATCTCATGTTCTGATTAACCATGCATATTCAAAAACTAACTGACTATTCATATGAACTGTGATCAAGATTTGACCGGATAGTTGCAAAATAATTGAGCGCTGAGTGAGAAGTAAACATTTATAAAATTATATTTGTAAAATCTCAGCGAAACTGGTCCGAACTTCTTTGTTTATTATACATGTTGATACCTGTTTCATGACTCATACGATTGGACGAAGTTTTTAAAGAGAAGAGATATCCAAGTGTTGGTTTGTAGGGATTTGATTGGTTACAGGATTTCATCATGAGCTGACATTAGTTAGAGAACCATTGGAAAACCTGGGAGTATTGGACAGCTGCCTCCCTCGTCCTAGTTTGGGACTCTTCACAGTACACACCCACCGGGATTCGAACCCAGGACCTTCTGGTTACAAGGCCAGTGAGCTCGTAGACCATTAAGCCACTGGGACCCGATCCAATGGCCCATGAATTCTAACTTCTGCCAATTCACGACATAGCACGACCCCTTTTTTTATGTATAAATCTCTGTTACGTTAGAAGTTAAATGGCGGATGGTGACCACAAGTGGAACCCAGGATGACGCGCATTTCGTCCTATTTGGGACTCGTCATCTAGATGTACTTGCATTCTCCAGTGAGTGATGATGTTACCCCCGAGACTCGAACCCAGCGCCCATAGTTTCAAACGCCAAAGCCTTAACCACTAGACCATTTGGGCCACGAGAGCCACCTTTAGATTTTCCCGTCGATTGACTGAACCGACATGTCAACCTGAGACTAAGCACTTCGGTCCAATCAATCGACGGAAAAATCTAAAATTAAATTATATGTTACTTTAATGTCGATTAATTTCCCTGAAGAAGTTCGGTCCAGCTGGTCGAACGAAACTTTGGAATTAATCATTATTCCACCGCATTTTATACTTGTTCCGCAATACATTTGTGATATGATTCCAATTCGCATGTATTGGCTGGCTATTGTATGCTTAAATTAATGGATTTATAATTGTAGAGCCTGAAGAAGAAGAATTTGTTGAAACCGCATTTGTTCGCTCTAACTATTTTGTTCTGAATTCATATTTTGCAAAATATAAATATCAATTTACAACTTGCACAGTTCGAGGAGGTGAATTCTCACCATAGTTTCCTTTTGGAAACCAAAATTAATTAGATCACAATATATGAGATCTTCCTGATACTGCAGAAATGCCGATCAATAAAGTGAGAATAAATGTATGATAGGATATACTACTGACTGGTTTATATAAGTAATTGGACAGCTCTGTAGGTAAGGCACCGAACTACTTATATCAGATCAATCAGTAGTATCATTGTTATTGCGTAATTTGTTTCTTACCTGTATTATGCGTAAATTTCCACCATTTACGTAGTTCATTGACCACATTACTTCCTTGCATTAGATTAAAATTATTCGACTGTGATTTGTTTGAATTGATTGTCCCTGATTTTGAACCATCCATTATAACCGCTGGAGGTGGTAATTGATGCAACCAATTACGTAAACGTGTCAGCAGGATACGTATTGTATGAGGTAGTAAAGCTTCTTGTGGACTTTCATAATTTAAATAAGTGGGTTGACGAGATATAAGCTTGGCATTGTTCGATGGACGCCAACGTTTATCTGGATCTGGTGAACGTGGAAAGTAAAGACCGTCCAGAGGGTTTGTTGGCTCTGTAGAATCACTTGGTTTAAACATTGCAGGAAGAGTTGAATACTAAGAGAAAACATAAAACGAAATATAGAGCTTTGAATAGAATATAACTCATGGTGGTTGTGAAGTTTGAGTTCTCGAGAACTAAATAAAATTTATCCTTTGTAGATACTTCAAATAGCAGTCATATATCCCAAAGTTCAGTAGGTCAACATATTCTAATTACATCTTTGATTGAACACCAGGTAGCAGCTAATTTTATGAGTCCAGTCATTTGTTTGGTGCAGACAGGGTTCTACCATCCAAGTTTGTAGTGTGGCCGCCATTCTAGGTGGCTCACCATTACGATCCATTCTGAACTGTTGTTATGAGATGGTTGGAGGCCATCTGCCGGAAACTCTACCCGGCACTCACCAGTCAGCAAGGTGTGTCTGAAATCTTGGAAGAACTCACGTCCCCCTTGAACCTATGTCACTCAGTACTGCATTCAGGGATGGGGAGCCGCAAACCTGACTGACAGCAGAATTCAGTCTGCACCAAACAAACGATTAGACACATGACTCTAGTTACTTATTATCTAGAGATAAATCAAAGTATCCGTTATGGTCCTACAGGATGTCTATTACTATCCCGAACAGCTTAGTGATAGCGTCTTTGACTTCAGCACTAGGTGACACAGGTTTGAATCTCAGTATGGACATGGGTTCCTTCAAGATCGTGGACACGTCTTACTGAAGAGTGCCAACAAGCACGAAACTGCAGTCCAAGGCTTTCAGCCGATTACAGATGTCTTACTATCCCACTAGACAACATATCCAGTGCTAAATTCTATGTGAAGTGAGTTTTCCTGGAACTCAGTAGGAATGATGTGACTTTTTCTCATGATTACCTTGGCTATGATTGGCTGTCTATAGAGGTTTTATTATCTTGATGCTAATTTGGATTGGTATGGATCGCTTCACTGATCTGAAATCAGAGGTTTCCGCCATTTTTCGGCATATAAATTGTCTACTGGATAGGGGTGATAAATGATGGGAAACAAATCAAGCAGTCCAGTGGAAATATGGTAATGATATTTGTAAGGGAATAACTGTTTGAAAAATCCCTCATGAACGATCTATTTCCGGTAGTGCTACTGATTTAAACATTCCAACTAACTATGTAATTATGATCCTTTTTTCTGCTCGACTGTATATCATTGTTTTGACTTAATCCGAATTATTTGTCTTTATTCCTGTCTAATCTGTAATTTTAATGCTTCTTTTTGTGGTTTCGTGATGATATTGATAATGTGTTGGTTTACGAGTGGGATTTCGTTTGAGTGAGTTAAGGCTATTATGACCTTGAACTGTCTTTGAGAATTGCTTGGGGTGTAATTCTTGCTGGGAGAGTTTTGATCCCACCTTGTATGGAGTATTCTATTTGATTCTCAGGTACTTCTTACAGCTGATTTTTGGTTAACTAATTTTGTTCTACGGTACTGGTTTTGTACTAGAAACTTATCTGATCTGCATAGCTGCCTAACGGCATTGTTGATGTAATTTTGACTATTTCATATAGTATGACTGTCGAATGGGACCACAGACTTCACTACCAGTAACTGTATTTTTGCTGTGTTTGGAGCGTTCTGTGACTGTGAGTAACTCAAGGAAGATTTGGTCAGCTATACAGTAGAATGCAAATACCTCTTTCCTGCGTTCAGACAAAAACGAGTCGGTTTTGGTCGTTACACACCTGAGCATTTGTGCATCATCGACTCATTGGTAGATTGTACGCTAACCATCCACATGGTCCAGGGTTCGATTCCCGGCTGGTGCAGTCCTAAACCTCATTCAATTTCTTGACCAAAGTAGTCCTTGAAAAGAAGAGGGGTGGCTGAACCTGAAGCCAACAGCCCTATTCTGTAGAAAAACGGCCACTTCTACTGAGACATTAAAACTGAAGCTTGAAGCTCTATTTACCAATCAGAACACAAAGGAATGTAAGCAAAACTTACACGCTTAGAATTATGTAGTAGCTTTGTGATTCGTGAGAATAATTGACGACGAGCACGACCATGACACATGATAAGAAATTCTTCAAATCTTTTCTGAAGTCTGCCAGAAAAAAATAATAATAATGATAAACTTAATCATAATTAACTGAAACAAAGTATTAACTAAATGGGCGGAAAAATAAAGACATGGTGTGTACTTCTTATAACTTGGGAACGATTAATTGTGTGGTAATTTTATTCCTGGATGTACATTCCATGACATTCAACACTCGTCATCTGGATGTACCTGCATTCTCAGTGAGTTATAGGATTCTTATTGTGAATCGAACTCCGCACCCAGCGGATAACTGTATACGACATTAACTCCTTCTGGAATGTTCGACACTGGATGTTCAGTTGTGGAATTTACAATAAATTAAACACGTATACACACATTGACAACAATTAGGATCTCGTTTGATATTGCGGTATCATATGTGCTGAAGTAAGTGGATATGGATCAGACACACATTGAGGAGAGCGTTGAGTGACATCGCTTGAGTGGCCCCCGATTGGTAGGCGACGAGTTGGGCTTGTGTAGAAGATGGTGCTAGAAGGAGGAGGAGGAATCGTGGGGCCAGCTAAAGAGGGCTGTAGAGATTGGAAGCTGTATGTTCCACTTGGAATCGAAGAGAATATAAATAAATAAATAATAATTTATCTCCACACATCAAACAGCACTTTTATACTAATTCTTGATCACTTTCTTTTCAGCTTCTGCATGTATCAGTCTGTGCCATTTAATTGCGCTACATAGGGCTCCAGCAGAACATCTCCATTCCACTCTATTCTCGGTAGTCTCTGTTAGCTGGCTTCATGACTGCCCGTTGACTTGCATTTCCTTCTAACACGTTAATTGCATATTAGATAATTTTTCTTGTATAACACACAGTAATGATACAGTAATAATAAATGCGTGACGACTTTTTAAGCACAACTGCGTTTTGCTCACAAACAGTTTGATGTAATTCACAGGAACTAATAACTTGCTTTACTGTAATTTTCCGTGTACCTGAGAAGTAGACATTTCTGCATTCTAACTGCACGTGTTCGGCGTTGATTCGATAAACAAAGCATGTATGATTCACCTCTCACCCCTCATAATTACATATTACTTTTACTCCATCCCTGCGAATGAAAAGCTAGATCGCTTTACAAACAGAAATCAGTCAGAGAATAATCTTTTAAATAACTGGGGTATACTATGCATTTGTCACCTTTTAGTTACAGACTCCTCAGCACCTATGACCCCACTGACTATCAAATTCAGGACCTTTATGTTTCAAGGCTAGCTTGTTGACCGTTCAACTGCTACAATGAAAGGAATCCACTGACCTGAGAATCCTAACTTCTGTCAGTTTTCAAAGTATTCCACCACCCTCAGTAGATGTCATCAGCAAGTATTTCTCCATATACCCGACCTGTTGTTGGAATTCATGAGCAATAGGATTTCATTTCCAGTGACTGAATGACCAACGAACTCACTCCTCAACCTGAAAATTCTTTATCCACTTCTCAGTGTGGTCAAGAGTGTCTACCACTACGTAGTCTTAGACTAAGAGGGGAAAATAGCTACCCGGTACTCTCCGATTTTCATTGGTTCTCTAACGGATATCTACTTGTCATCTAACTCGAAACTAATCGTATCCCTGCAAACCACCACTTGAAAAGAAATTCTAATTACCAAGTCAATAAAACAGTAACTGTTAAAGAACTTTTCCTCATAATTATATAATATATATATATATGTACATATCCTTCCAAAGTATCACTCACCGTTTAAGCATCAGTTTTTCTCCATATTCAGTTGAAACATCAAGGAATAATGATGGTGTCATATGTCCAGGATTACTAATCTTAATTAACACATAAAACGAAAAAAAGATATTAGAAAAATTGTTTTTTTGTGAATGATTCTATTATTGGTATATTTCATTATTAGTATAAACACAAGGCCGAATATAAAATAGTATCTTCGAGAATTAGTTTGTAGGGATTCTGTTTGTTTCAGGTAAGACCACGGATTGATATCAGTTAGAGAACCACTGCAAACCAGGGAGTGCTGAACAGCTGTTTATACCTAGTACTCGAGACTCATCGGGAGTACCAACGACCTTCCAGGTACAAAACAAGGTCGTATACCATTCAACAACTGGGACCCGATTCAATGGGCAACCCATGAATTCTAACTTCTACCAGTTCGTGATTTTAGCGCGACCACCAACCAATGTCATCGGCGGAAACTCCATCCTCACCCTCCTCCTCCCAAACTAGGACGAAACAGCTGTCCAGCACTCCTTAGTTTGTAATGGTTCTCTAACCGATATCAATCCATGGTCTAACCTTAAATAAAATAGTGTGACTTAGAGCTTATCATAAATTTTCTATTCTGGTATTCTAAGGCATCTAAGATGTCAGTGTTTCACTGCTTCCTAGCCACACTGTGGGTCAGGATTTTTATTTCCGTTGGACGTACTCTTGAACTTCACCTAGTTTACCAGCCGACAATAAGCCATGAATAAGAGATGGTCGGGAGTGAGACAACCAAATCCATTCCTCAAAAAGCAACAACGTCACCGTTACTGAAACTTCAAAACTTAGAGCCCTTGTGTTTCATTAGGAAAGCAAGGCATTTGGTTGCGAATGGCTTTATAGCAAGTGTTTGAAAACTATGTGCTATTCATTGAAGTCTAACCGAGTGGCTGAAAAACAGTGTATGTTCTCTTACCTATCAAAATAGTCAGGTGATGGGTTGATTTTTGTCAGTTGTTCCCGCTGATTTCGCTTTCAAGACTAAATTAACCTTGCAGTTAGTGAAATCCCCAAAAATCCAGAAGGATAAACTTCTCTGTCTTCAAGTGTTGGATTGTAATGGATTTTCATACATTTCATGATGGGCTTCGTCACGAACTAACATCAGTAGCAGAACCATTAAAGACTAGAGAGAAGTCGACAGAGGACTCCTCAATAGCTCTACGCCTTCATGCATCAACAATCTACTTAAACATTCACAATGACTGCCTATCTATAATATGTAAATCCTTGTACGAATTTATCTTATTTCATACAAGTGAACTTAAATTATGTTTAGGACATAAGTGACAAATGTCTTAGAAGTTTCATTATGTGATTGTAAGGTTTATTAAGAAATTACCGAAAATTCATAATTGTTTAAATTATCTTCTCTGAATATATATTTATCCACAAATAAAGTTGAGATTAAATGGTTTGAAAACATCCGATCACAGGGTGAATGACGACGACTATACTTCCCGATGAATAAAACTCAAAACGATGTTTCAAGTTTTGATCACGGATTAGTGTCAGTTGGAAAACAATTGAAAATCACCAAAGAGTGGGTACTGGATAGCTGTTTCGTTTTGTTACTTGGGACACATTAGCAATACTGGCCCATCGGGGTTCAAGCCTACTACTATTCATTCAGCCACTGGAACCCAAACCAATGGCCAGTTAACGAATTCCAACTTCTACGAACTCATGACTACACCTAATGACTGGTTACAGAGTGGATTTGACTTGAGTTCTCGTTTAAAGTAATGGTACCCACTCCATCGAGCGTAGGGACAGATACTCGCTGATGAAATTGACTGGTGGTCACATTAAAATCCCGAGTTGGTGGAAGTTGAAATTCATGGGCTGACCAATAGATTGGGTTCTAGTGATTGAATGGTCCACGAACTGGACTTGTAACTGGTAGGTCTTGGGTGAGTACTGTTGCTGACGAGAGGGGAGCAATGAGATGAAACAGCTGTCCCGCACTTCCTGGTACTTTACAATGATTCTCTAACTGATATCAATCCCTAAAAAGTAACTTTCGAAAATAAATATGGTGTTGTTTTCTACTGATATTTTGCTATTTGAGACTTCTAATAGCTTTTTTAATGTAATATTAAATCAAGATCCACAAAAACTTGTTTATATACATAGTGGCTTAGTTATACTGTAAAAATTCTGAAGAGCTTGAAAAGTCATCAGTTCTATAATATCATGCTACAAGATTAACTCCGATAGTATTGAAATCACTTACAAACATTTACAGAAATAAGCAAAGTTATGGTAAGAACTTTACTCTGGCCATGGTAGGGCGAGAGAATGTATGTATCGCTTTTGAATGCAGAGGTCCGCTTCCAGATCTCAAATAGCTAATGCGTCAGCTATGTACAGATGGCGTATCCGAAGTCCCTTTGTACGATATTGAGGGACTCTGTGCAGCACTGTGAAGCATTAATGTGGAGGTGCTCGATGTCCGGAGTCCCTCAATATCGTACAAACGGACTTCACATACATAGCTGAAGCATTAGCTATTCGAGATCTGAAACCGGACCTCTGCATTCAAAAGCGATACATACATTCTCTCGCCCTACCATGGTCAGAGTAAAGTTCTTACTATAATTTTGCTTGTTTCTTTTTTATTACGTAAGTTCACTATTATTATTATTGTTATTACTACTATTATTTTATTATCATTGTTATTCCCATCATCCAAATTTACAGAAATAATAAGGAATATTTTATAGCAGAATTACTTCACATATAATGAAACAACAGTTATCTGAATTAATCTGAAGGGCTATGATAGGAAGCGGCTGCAACTGAAATCATTATTTTTAGGCCAATGGCTGCAGAGATAGAAGTGTTTATTTCTCAAATCTGGATCCACTTTGTGATATGGACATGAAATAACCTCGTTGGGAAGCTTTTCATCTCATTTTCTAGCCCCTCACCATCGCCGAATTTCAATGTGGCTAAAAGAAAGATCCGTATCCTAACAGTCACAGACCAGCCTTCGTCTTTTGATATTTACATGGCTCAGTGTAGCGGAAGGTACTAAGGACGAATTACTGTGCCTATCAGTTTCAGTTGAGTTGTCCACGTTTAACTCAACTCGGTCATATCAGTTTTTGACGAGATTATATCAGATTAAAACCGGGTTAGCACCGGATCCAACCTCTTCCTGCCTTCCTTCTTTCTTTGAAAAAATACTGTCAATAAAAATGCGATAGTGAAACTATCTTAGTTAGCCTTGGTTCGCCAGTCTGCTGTAGACATAGTGGGTGGAATAAATGCACTAATCATAGCAAGACTACGAACAGTTGCCTCTGAAGTACTATTCTGAGATTCTATCAGTCCTATCGCGACCCAGATTTCGACGCTTCACTGATAGAATACTTGCGAGCTACACACACAGCCCTGAGTTCGATCCGTGGCGATCCTCAACCTTGCCTAGTTTATTAGCTATTAGTAGCCTGGGAAGGGAGAGAAGTTTTGAGCGTTGAAACTTCCAACTGCAAGCCGTAAAAAAACAAAACAACAGTTCCAGAATTCCTGAAACTTTAAAGCTTGAGGCCCTATTTCCTAATTTCAATGCAATGCAATGGAAACAGAAATTTAAACCAATAAAATTGAAATTATATGAGTAGATGTGAAAATAAAAACGTTTATTAAAATGAACATTTTTCTACCTGCCATGCATGAGGATTTCGATTTGACGTAACCCGATAAAAATGATTGACATTCAGTTTACATTTCATCTACACAAAGAAAGACAAGAAGACAAAAAACAATTTTTAAATATGATTTTTATTTCAGGTTTGAGCATGAATTTACTCCTGTTAAAGAACCACTGAACCCTCCTAGGAAGTGCTGGAGATTTGTTTCATCCTTGTTTGGGACTCTTCAACCACAACGCGCAACCATGAATTTAGTATGGCCATCGAAACCGGAACCTTCAAGTCTCAAGGTGAACTACCATGATGATGACAACAATAAAGTATGTGAATTTAGGTGAAGTGTGAAGAACTATGACCAAATTAAATTAAATTCTTTAATTTCAGGATGTATTCTGCTATTTTAGAGTTTCTTAGGATGTACATGCTTTTTCATTTCATCCACGATGTTATGGACAACGGGGAGCTGAAAATGAAGCCGAGGCTGACCGGCAGCTTAACCGGACTTCTACTGATATGACGGTGGCGACGGTATCAGTAGGAGATAACTTGGGTCGCCACACCGTTCCTAGCGTAGCTCCGTTGATAGTAGCAACGGGCATCAACCAAATTTGTCAAACCTCACAACCTACTGATACATTGGCGACGGTATCAGTGGGGGCTGGACTTAGTCGTCAACAATCCAACCCGATGAACCAAACGAATCCAAGAAATATCATGCCGGATCGGCCGTGGCCCGGATTAACAACGACCGCGCTTTCTGCTGCCGTGTCACAGGGCAGAAGTGATAAGTACGCTACTGAGACACACCAGGCCGTGTGTGACCGGCCTCAAGCAGATGTCCCCTGGGCTCTGCGGTCACGCAACACTAACCTTTCTTTTATTTCAGGTACCCAAAGACTAAACTCAGGCGTGAGGCCAGCAACCCCACCCTGTAAACAAACCTGCTACAGAAACTTCAGCGTGAACAGTCTCCTTGCGTCAAATTAAAGAAAGGGGTTTATCAAAACATTTCTCAATATATAATTTAGGTTTGTTACCATGTATAACTAGTGTCTCGGTTATGCGTTAGTAGAGAAAATGTAAACCTTTGGAGTACCCGAAATATAGCCATGTAGATAAATGTAAAGGATGAATCGCATTGGCGACTGTGTGATCTGATTCTAGAGGAAGACTATGTTTGCTTTTCATCAACCAAACAGAGTAGGCAGGGTCCAGCTACTCACTTCCAAAGAACACACCTACCATATGCAATGCAATCAACTTGACAGGTAAATATGAAAGAATAGATGCACATTAAGGCTGACATAAGTAGTAGTTTATCCTTCACGTATTGTCGAATTGTATTTCGGCTCAAGAATACCAAGCGTAGGTCAGAGGCACAAAACCAGCGTTTAATAAATTTTGAAAGACGACTTCTAATTCATTTTAGTCACATGATCTGTCAATAATTGTTTGGACAACCTGTTTTAGGCTAAACAGAAAAGAAATACGATCCTATGAATTCATGGATTACCAGTTCACCCAAATAGCTGTCTGATCTGGATCAAAAACAGGCAGCACCACTGATTAATTCAGTTGTGAACGAAAGAAACAGCCGTTCAGTGTTTAGACCAATTCACTCTGGCTAGTAATCACTACTGGTTTTTATGAGTGGCTTTCCCTAGGAGTAATAAAAACCAATAATATAGATCACCTTACAAATGTGAATTTCGTTATAAGCCAATATAAATTCAGGGACTAGTGAAAGCTATGTTGAATAAGTGGCTGCTGAATATGTAATAGAAAAATTTGAAGTCACATCAATAGTTTTCACCCATAAATCCAATTCGCTATTTGAAATTTCATCACAGTTTCCTATGGAAACAGAAATTGTTTAAATCATACAAATACGTAATCTGCTTGACACCATTAACGGCATTCAAGCAGGCGAACATAAGCCCAAGATCATCTATACTACTGATTGTTTGATATGAGTAGTTGCATGCCACACATTTCAAATAGGAATGCCTGCTAACTAAATAGCTAACTAACTAAATAACAATCGAAATAGCCTAAACACCAGAGAGCTGTTTTGCCCTTTTTGATGTCAAGTTCATTAGTGGTTTATACACTGTGCAACTCAGCTCACAGAGCCAAATCAGTTCAGACAAATTAAATTCTGGCTGGTTATCTGAAATTTACACAGTTCCAGGTGAAACTTCACTTCGTTCCGTCTGAAACTCGTCTTCTGGTAGTTTTCAAACCGAAACTTAAGCTTAGGTCTTTCCGTTCACTATCCCAGTGGAAAAAGCACTGGCGTTTGAATCCACGGGTGCTTGTAATATCCACAACCCAAGTATTTCCGTATGAACACAAGAACCACTAGATGAATTCTTCTGTAAAACCCGGCAAACTTCTGCCATTCAAGCTCAGTTAAAACTTATATTCCGACAGTATCAAAAAAGCAATCTCATATTTTATAATTAATGTTACTGTTAAACAGCACTGATAGCTTATATGCGAAAAATACAAACCACCTTAACAATGATATCCAGCAACTATACAATCCAAAAATTTCTCAGGTATAAAATACGCAATGAGAATCAATAAGAATATTCACCCTGACGTCAACATTCGAAAAGAACAATGTATGTTTCCTAAAGATAGTTGAAGGACAAGCAGTTACCACTCCAATGACTAACATTGACTTCACTCAAACAAAATCACAGTCGTAAAACAACAGAATTATCGACACCACTAAACAGCAGCGAAAAGAACCATCAAAAATAGAAATCAACCAAAAGCAAAGCAATGAGCGAGAAATAAGCTAATAAAGAGATGTGCAAATGTAAGAATAACCATTTATAAGTCAGGATAAAATAGTAGTTCAATGAGATACGGGTACATCCAGATGACAGCTCTCGAACAGAAGAGGAGTCACTCTAGACCCCAGTGCTAACCACCGTTAATTAAACTATATCTATACGTTATCGATTAAAACGAAGTGTGATAGGATGTCATCATGAGCTGACATCAACTAGAGAACCGTTGGAAAATCTGGAAGTACTGGACAGATGTTTCGTCCTAGTTTGGGACTCTTTGTCAGTAGGCACCCACCACCCAGTTTCGAACCCAGGACCTTCTGGTTACAAGGCAAGAATGTAGACCATTAGGCCACTGGGACCCAATCCAGTGATCTTGTAACTAGAAGGCCGTCAGTCTGAACTAGAGAGAAACGACTGTCCAGTACTCCCAGATTTTCCAGTGGTTCTTTAACCAACGTCAGCTCATGATGAAATCGTGTCACCAATCAAATCCCCGCCCAAATCAACACTTGAATATTCAAATGAATTCTTGACAAGAGTGGATAAACGCCGGAAAATAATAATTATAATCTTATTCTTCTAAAGTAGGGATACAGTGAGTATGCAATAATCATTAACCCCACTCCCCTCCACAAAAAATATGATTAACTTACCTGTTTTGACTCAAAATCTGTTAAAGCTCTAGCCAGTACAGTTTGTCCTTTGGCTAGTGGACGTACACGATGATAAATAGATCCTAAATTGTCCAGTAAACGATCACATAATTTAAGCGCTTTTAAATGATCCGCCAAAGTCTCTTCGAAATGCTGTTCTAAGAAATAAGATAAGAGGATACATATTTATGCGAAAAATTAAAGAATTTAAAAAATAATACGTATAGTATACGTCATGAATTTATAACCAGAACTACATATTTTAACAGAATATAATAATAATAAAACTCAATATACCGCAAACCGACATGGACTGGACAGTATTTTAACTTTCACAGCTTCGTCCCTCTGATGCGAACGCAAAACTTAATGTGTACCTTATACTCAAGGATTCGAAAAGTCTGCTTCGAAGATATGATAGAGAATAAATTAAAATCACTATGCGAAACCCTACTGGAGAACAGGTAACATCCAAATTTACCGACAAAACCATGAGAGAAAACCTGCATCGCAGAAAGCTGCAACTGTTCCTTAGAAAACTTTTTTCATTAACCTAAAATTCAAAGGTAAAGTTGGGGTAAGAAATTATCAGAAACCGCTTTTTAAATGTCTAAAGAAGACATTTCAAGCAGCCACCTTACGTATCACATTTATTGCATAATGTTTTCTCTTCATGCAGGCATCTTCAACTAAAATATTAACTGATAGTTGACCGAATGACACAACGCCTTCTGGCCTGAAGCGTAAACTAATCCCTTTCGATAGTCCTTCTTTGTCTTTCTCGAGAAATTCACGACAGATGGTTGAAAGCCATTTAAAAGGTTCAGGAGTACATCTTGCGATCCCAAGATATAAATGAATTTTTAAAGACTGCAGGTAATTGATTTTATTTCCTAGGGAGTGGCAGTTTGTAATAAAAGTCTCAGGGACAGTCATCTCATATATTAAGATACTTTGCCATCCACGCTTATGATTTTTTTCAAGTTCAGCAGGCTATAAACACTTTAAATGCTCGCGAAGATAAGTAATTGATGTGAACACGAGAAATAAGATACAGTATAATGATGCTGGTTTCAAGAAGCCCAAGTTTTGAACAGACCACGGAATCGGTATGACTTTAACAAACTGAAAAAGAGGTAATGAAGGATAAGGAGAACTTATTTTAATGATTGTCTCCGGAATATCTTAAAATTCCTGAGGCATTTGTGATTAAACCAAGTGACAGAGAAGCAAATTTACCCAAATTATATTCTTAAAAAAGCTCCACAGTGAAACTAAGAGTTTTCTAATGTTCTGAAAGGCTGATAATTAGTATTAATTATGATTAGTCAACTTCTTCAATAGCTCAGTGGTAGGATGCTCTCCAGCCACCCATGTGGTCTGCGTTCGATTTCCAGATGTTCTGGTCGTAAGCCAGGGAAAGATGGTAACACCACTGCTACTGAAAGTCTACAGCTCAAGGTTGAAGCCCTGTGTTTCACTGGAGGAGCAAGAAGTGAAATATGCACTTCTATAGAAGTGATTTTATTAGTCATGCCTAGTATTGGGATAGGGAATGGGTATTCCATCCTATATGGGATCAAAATGAGTGACAGTGTCCCCACTGAGACTCAAATCTAGGCAGTATCGTTTCCAAATCCAGAGCGTTTTCATCTAGGCTACTGAGACATGGGTACCACTTCTTCCACAATGAGTATCAATTGTTATTTATCAAAATTATCTTCACTACACACTGAACTTGACTCTGAAGATTTTATTTATAAGGACAATGTAAGCTTTGTAATGAAAATCCCATCCAACAAAAAACACCCAAAGAATAGTTTTATTTTTCAGAATTAATCCCACTGTTATTTGAAGATGAACTTACATTTAACTGTGAATTCATTTCATAAATTGATAATATTCTAGATGCATGATTTTCTGTTGCATCTAACCAATCCATTACAGTACGAATTGAATGAATAACCTTAAAGTTTTTGAAAGAGAAAATTCATTTATAATTCAATATACTACTTAAATTTATGTTAAAGTAGCCAGGCATCATACAACTTTTAATTTATGGAGATTACTGGTTTACTTGAGATGTTGAGTACCAGTTTAGCTGCAGGAAATGTTCTCTCTACTGCTGTATTAAGTCGACATTTTAGAATGTCAGATGCAATTTCCTCTTTGTAACTTAACCTAAGATACAAAGGTTTCTTTTCTACGGTATCCACCTTCACTCTGTCTCTAGGTATTGACGTATAAATTTTTAGGAAGTTCTCTGGATATCCGTTTTCTTGCAGTGTAAGTTTCAGTTTACACATTTCTTTCTTAATGCATCCCTCTGATCATATGCGTTTTATTCTATAGCTAAGACATTTAACTAAGTTTCTTTTGTATTGAATTGGTGTGAAGCTATGAAAATGGGTGTACTGAACCGTCCAAGTTTTCTTTCTAAATAATTTCCTTTGTAGATGTCCGTCTGTCTTCATGGTAAGGAGGACGTTTAGGAAAGGTAAACTGTTATTGTCTTCTCCCTCCCATGTAAACTGAATAGCTGGGTGAACACTATTAACAGAATTCAGAAGCTCTTGTTTATTATCCATGCGCGCGCGGGAACATGTACCTGTATGGTTGAGTAAAGGGGTAACCAAATGCGTAAATAGTGTAGTCTTAGCCCACTTGGTAGATACTGGACACCCGATAAAACTTGACGAGGCGTTCTCAGTTATTTACCGTGTTCCCAGTAATCTATCTAGAGGAGCTTGACTACGTCTTCTATCAGTAGCTGAAGCAGTCGCAATTAATACCAGAAGACCAACTCTTTGTATACAGAAGAAGTATGTTCAACTGCTATGTTTACCTTGGCCTACAATAAAGCCAACAAATCCTCCATAAACATTAGCACTCTAAATTCCTATCACAATTTTCTTTTCTTTTCTTCTTCTTATATTCCTTTGTTTCAATGACAAACGTTCATTTCTGACCTTTTACAACTTCATGACCTTTCTTATGATTTTATTACCTTAGGTTTAAGTAGTGCTTTTCTAACTTGTTATCGTATTTACAAAATCCTGTTTATTCCACTTCATTATATTCATTATTATTATTATTTGACAATCATTCACCAATAGTACTTGTAATTTTACACCATATCATCGTTATTATTTTACAATCATTCTTACTGTCGTTATTTTCAACCTTGAACTTGTGTCTAGTCCGCCCCATTCGTTGGTTTATTTTCATATTGTCTCACACACCCTGATTACACTCACTCTCGAAACCTGTGTTTTTCTGTTGACTATATTTATATATATACATATCATTAAATTAAATTACTTCATCTGATTTTGTCCCATGTTCTCATTGACCATGCATATTAAAAAACTAACTGACTATTGTTCCATCCCATCTTATACTTGTTCCACAATACACTTTCTGATATGATTCTAACTTGCCTTTACTGGCTGGCTATTGTATGCTTAAATTAATGGATTTATAATTGTAGAGCCTGAAGAAGAGTTTATTGAAAACAATTGTTCGCTTACTATTTTGTGCTGAATAAATTATGGGAATATTCAATATATATATGTATATATGACGTCAGACGAAAGGTTTGTAGACCTACATTGATTGAGATCGGTAAGACATCTATTACGCAAGCTGAGCCACAGCCTTTTTCGTCATGCAATGTTAACTGACGTAGAATTACGTTGCAAAAGTGTTAGGAGTGGTCAAATCAGAACCTGGCACTAATCGTTGAAGTCTTTGACAGCTGGTTTGAGCTTACCACTTAGAGAAGTGTAGGCTGTCTAATTGGAGACGTCGAGATCGTAAGAACCGTTGGTTTGAGACTGTTGGTGATACGGTTCTTAATAGTGCAGACACATTCACTTTTTATAATCTCCCAGATCCATTAAATGCTCATGTTTTTCTATATTCTTTTCAATGAAAAGCAACTTATCCTGTCCTCTAGGAATTTATCAACTTTACATTATTGTTAGCGAACTGACTAAACTAAGGCTGTTGATGTCGTCATTTATGTCTTTTAATATTCAAAAAGAGAGAGAGAGTAATTAACTTCCTGCCTTCTTCCTTCTCTCAGTGCATAACACTTATTGCCACCTCGTGACTGACTGATGTTTTTTGTTGTTGAAAAAAATTCCTTAATTTCAAACGTCACTTGACGAGAAACAACTACAAATATTCATTTACAAACAGATATTTTTCAGAGTTTCTTAATTGCTCAGTGGTGTGGGCAAAGGTGCTTCACCTATTATACAGTCCAAGTTAGGCCACGAAATGACACCAGGTGGTGAAAATCACTGAAAAATAGTAAGAATCCTAGACTAGTACGAAGTTCAGTTGCAGTGGTGTTGTTTTTTTATAGAGGTTGGAGTTGCTTACCTCACACCCAACCTTCCTTCTTTTTCCAGCCTCAGTATTGCCTAGTAAGTTAGACAACATTCTACGAGTGGGTCAGCAGGAGAACTGAACCCGGACCTGTGTCGTAGGTGGTAAGCCTTCCATAGCTGAACCACTGAGACAGAAATTACCTTTTACTTTAAATAAAGTAAAAACAAACACTTGTGCAAAATAAGATGAGGCAATTACCAATTTCGTTTTTTCTCTATAGTTGCGTGCAACCTGACAGTCAGTTATGTATATGTAAAGAGGAATTTAAACATACTGACAAGGCTTACAGAACATAAAGAAGGACATATCTTAGATTCTCTGAACATGTACCAAGAAGCTTACATCTAAACGGAACAAGTGCTTTGAACAGTACTACTGCCAGACATCTTGTTGATGCTGATCATCAGCTGAACACCATGAAATCCTTCAAGCTCAACTGTCATCAGATCTGTCGAAGCCATCTCTACCAAACGTTTGAAACCTCACTTATGTATTCAGGAACATTCACTTATCAGTTATTCCATCACCTGGTAACTCAGTGTCTAATCTCTTCCTCTTATCTGAGTGTATAATTTCTTGCTTTAACCCTTTCACCACTTCTGCTCCAATGTAATTTAGTTTAGTTCCTTTTTTGTTTCTATGACTTGAGTTGAACTCACCACACTATTTCGCAACTGACTAGTTACCTTTCATCAACTTCTCACTTCTTATCTTAACTGTTCAGCTCAGCTTTCAATGTATCCGACGATTAATTTTGTATGTTTGTATTTTGTTTAAACTTTGACCTCTTTTCATAAGTTATGTATGGGCATACTAACTTCTGAGCATTGTTTATTGATTAGTTTTGTGTATTCATTAACTAAAAATCGTGCAGCTCATGTGTCTATCTTAAAATTTCTCCATACATTTACATGATTAACTTTTAGGCTGTATGCAGTTGAAGAGAAACCAGCAAAATAAGTGATGGCCTCATCTTATTTTGAATAAATATCTATATTTACCTTACTTATGTTCATAGAGGGGTGATAAGTGTACATTTGGCTTGTGGGTGTTTTTCTTCAACAAATAAATGAGGAGCAGTTATGTGTTTTTAATAAGTGAATTTAGATTTAATTAAATATTGTAATTGAGAAATTTATGTTATGGAGAACATAAGAGATAATTCATGGAAAACGAAGTTTTTTATTGATGAAGTCATCTTCAAATGTTATGCAGTTCGTACCTGTATTTACTAAAATGTACATCAGCGTTTTACTGAGTAGTAAGGTAGAGAGAAGTAAACATGATTGATTCAGTCACTCAGTTACCCAGTTCTTAAAGGATCTGGAGAACTCAAGTCACGCAGCTCCATTTTATCTCTTTTTTTAAAAAAGATCCTCAAAGTAAGACTGAATGGTACTTTGGGTGTTAGATTTTGACACTTATGTATGACAGAAGCTCTAGGAATTCATCAAAACAACTTCAGACTCTGTGTGCTAAAAAGATTTGTACAATTTCGTATTCTATCTACCATAGACATAAACTTCTTTCTAATTATTGGCTCATAGTTCATACCAAGTAATCCCTTGTTATCACATATTCCTTTTGTGTCAGATTCCTGCTTACTTCACAACTAGTAACTGGACGCTGGACCATCTCAATTTTCACTGCTGAAAAGTCCTAAGCACTAGGACAAAATAGTTGCCCATTGCTTCCTGTTTTTCAGTGATTTTCAACTGATATTTGAAATAATAATAGTAGACGTAAATAGCTGCATTTAGATTTTGATTAGACTTTTAATACATCTTAAATGGTCGTTCACGTGTATGAATCTGGTTAGCAAGTGCTACTGCTACTTAGTGTAACTGGCATCCAACTACTCATATCGATCAGGTAGTAGTGTATGGCATCAAGCAATTACACTTGTCTACTTGTTGCCGTTTATGTTATCATGCAGATAGCATAATATATGTGATCTCAATCATTTCTGTTTCCACAGGAAACTGCGCTGGAATTTCACCTCCTCGAACTGCGTTATTTGATTCTATGTATTACCAGTGCACTCAAGTAGTAGGCTAACCAGATTTTGAGTAGTTTAAACTGACCTGAATAAAAACTAGTTATGCCGCTGATGAGCTTGGTAGCGAGGAATTAAAATGGATGTCTGGTGCTTAGAACAATTCTTTCTTACAAACAAGCACTACTGCTTAATTAATACAAGTGGTATTACAGTTTTATTTTTTATTCCTTTGAGTTCCCAGTGAAACATATTTTTTAAATTTTGATTATCGTTTGAAACCACACAGTATTTTCGCTACAAGCATGGAATTTTCAGCATGTGATATCGATAGCCCAAATTTTGCAGGTCAACCATAGATATCAGGTGTGCGTCGGCAGGGGGTCGAACCTCGAACCATGTGTATGGTCGGCGAGAATCCTAACTGCTTCAAGCTATAGCTTTGAAGTTTCGGTAGCAGTGATTCTATTTTTACGGCGTGGAGTTGCTAGTTTTACGCCCAACCTTCTCTGTTTGCAGTGCTTATTACCAGCCTAAGCGAGGTTTGGGAGTGCGTCGGCCGGGGATCGAAC